TATTATATTTTGAATATATTTTTTTAATAAAATTATTTAATAATTTCTGTTGAAATTAATATAGACTTAGATAACTTATTTTAGTATTAATAATTTATTAATTTATTTTTTAACTCATATAACTTTTTTATTAATATTTTTACTTAGTACTTTAAGCTAAATTTAAATATTTGTTTTTTGTATTTTTTTTAATATTAAATTGCAGTTTAATCAAAAATTTCTGTATTATTATTGAATATTAATAAGAAAATTAATTTATTGTATTATTTTAGAACTATTTTATATTAAGTAAATATATTATCTATTAGTAATAATAAGAGTCTATTTAATAGATAGAAGAAGATATATTGTATAATAATAGAATCTGATAAGATTAAGAATATAAAATATAAAAATATAGATATTAATTGAATATTTATATTATCTATTTAGAAGTTTATTTGTAATATAATATTAATAAAGTACTATATTAATATTAAAACTATCAAATATATTAATAAAAATATATATTTTATATTATTAATGTGATTTATAATTTTTATATAATATTATATAATAATAGTTATTTTATTAAAGTATAAAATCTTTATATAACAAAAATTATTATTTATAAATTTAAAAACTTATAATTTTTCAAGAAAAAAAATATTATTTTTAAATAATATTTAAATTATAATTTAATTATATATTAAGTTTTTAATAATATAATAGGATTTCAAAAAAAATCTGATTTAGTTTAAACTTGAACTAGATTTAAATTTGATTAAATTTAGTTTGAACTTCAAATTTGATTAAAAATCTGATTCAAGTTTAAGTAAATGTTTAAGTAAAATTCTAGATCTTAATTAGAGTTACAAATTATATAAAATAATTAATATTTAGAGTAAATATTTATAAAGTTATATGAATTTAAAAATATTATAATTTTAATCTACTTTAGTTATAATATAATATATTTATTTTATTATAGTAATTATAAATTGTAATTATAAGTAAAATTATAGTCAAAAATCAAAGTTCTAAATTAATATAAAATAGTTACTATTAATAATAATTATTCAGGGAGTAATATAGTATTTACAATCAAATTTGATAAATATAAAAATCAAATACTTTAGTTATTACTATATAAATTTTTAATTCTTATTAAATATTATAATTTATACTTATAAGTAAAGTTATAACTTATGTTTAGAGCTATAAATCAGTATATAATATTATATACTGATCTTGAATCAAACTTGAACTCATATAATGGTTTAATTTGAGTTCGATTCAAACTTTGAATCTTTCTTGAACTCAAATCAAAGTTTGATTCGAGTTCAATTCGAATTTTGAACCAAACTTGAAGTCAAACAAAAGAAATATTATTCTCAAAATAATATATAAAAGATATTATTTTAATATATATTGAATATTTTTATATTTTAATAATAAAAAGAATCTTAAATAAACTTTAAAGAAAATTTATAATAAAAAAATTTGTTCTAACAAAATTTATTATATCTCACATAAATTTGATTTATATAGAATATATATTAATATAAAATTTGTTATTATTTTTACAAGTTTATAATAAATTTTCGATATACATAATTTTATTATAGATTTATAAAATTTGCTTTAGTTATATATTATATATTATAAAATAATTTAGTTATTCTATAGAAACTTATAAAAAACTTTATATTATTTTTCTTTCTAAAGAGAGAGAGAGAGCAAGATATTAGTGATATTTTTAGCTATTATTAAATATTTATAAAATAACAAATATATATTTTATCAAAAAATTGATTCTAATAATAAATTTGGTAAAATATTAATATATAAAGCAATTAGTAAATGAAATATAAATAAATAAAATAGCTTTTAATCTCATTTTATCTTGATTAAATTAACTTGTAAATATATAAAAGATAATATAATAGAGATATAATATAATATAATATAATAAATATTTAAATATAACAAAATATAAAAAATAAGATATTGAAAATTGTAAATTAGTGTCTTAATATTGCTAAAATTTTTAAACTTTTGTTTACAAAGAATTACTTGATAAAATAGCTGAAATAAGTGAAAAAATATTAAAATTTTGATTGGAACCAGATTATTTTTACAAATAAAAGTGTATTATAATTGTTTCTAGTAAGAAAACAAGTTTAATAATTCATTAAACAAAAAAATATTTTATATTGTCAAAGATTCATGTTTGGAATTTTTTTGCTTTGGGATTTGATAAATTGATGTGTTTCCAACAGAATCTTAATGCCAATTTTTATGTGTAAAATCTATAAGTGGGATCTTTTAACTTTTGCTTCTGAATTTTTTGGTAGTGATAATTTAGATTATTTTTTGCAGAAGATAATGATTTCAAGCATCACTCAAAAATTGTGAGGAACTAGAAAATAGAAAGAAAAATTATGATGTTTTTCTGGTTATTGATGTTCCTGGACCAAAATCCTATAAAAAATGTGTGATGGTTAATGAAAATCAATTAGCAAAAAAATTAAAACAGTTCATGTGTTAAAAACAGAACTTGCAAAAGAGTGGAATCATCTTCCATTTGAACTCACCATAAAATTGATGGATAATATGAAACGTTGTACAACTACACTTATAAATTCAAATGACGACTATACAATATACTAAATATCACAGTTAGTTATATTTTTAAATGAAAAAATTAAAAATAAAATTTGCTTACCTATGGGCGGTCGGATACTTATGATGATTACGTACTGTAACTTCTAGCTAATAAATTTGTTAGTTTAATAACTATTATCACCCTGACTGCATTAAATTAAAAGTGGTGGTACAAAGTAGCTTGATCAGAATTTCTTCCTACAACTAAACGATAATGATGCTTATCTTGTGGAAAATTGCTCTGAGCAGCAGTTGTTCCCTCCACACAAAAATCAATCACCGCCAAATCCTTCATCCTTAATTTACCATATCTTTTGTTAGGCTGAAATCTTTCAGAATGCTCTCAAAATCTTTTCCCATCTCTAAGGGCGTGATAAGTACATGTATCTACTTTTTTCTATAAGGTATAGTATAAAAGAAGTTTGAATCAAAGCATACGCTTTAGTATGCATCACCAAGATGAACAATTAGATTTTCTTGAGTATAAAGACAATAAAAATAATCAAATACTCTAACATTTTTTAAGCTTGTTTCATTTATCGAGCATATTCTCGATTCATAAAATTTTACCAAATATAGAAACCATCTCATTGTGTGGCACGCATAATCTACTAACGCTAATATTTCTATATCGGAATGGGTTGTTTATACGTTTATTGTTCTTTAAACAATTATTCTTCACGAATGTCTGTTATTCATGCAACGACTATCTTCGATTATTTAATGTGAACCGGACCGGTTACGCGCGCCAACTAAACAATAAGATCGTCATTGCTTCACAATCTCTGTACCTAGATCGGAAAATTCAACGATTGCACATGTCTTTTATCTTCCATATGTTAAGTTCGGCTGAAGATGCTTCGAGTGAATCCCTTTGAAAAAATGGACAATATTTGACAAATATGCTATTGAGCCAGAGTAAAAAGGTTTATCAAGCAAGTACATGTACATGATACGTAATCGATAATATGATTCTTTCTATGAATAGTTTAGTTCCGGATGAAGAAAGCAAATGCTTTCGACTTTTCTAAATAGAAAATCCAGTGATGCACGATGTCCCACAATTTTATGTATAAATGCATTTATCTTAAAATAACCATGATTTTCATTCTAACAACTTTACTCCATACTAAACAACCAATGATGTGTGTAAATCACCTGATTCAAACCTCTTGTTAGAGGGTTGTTGATGGCGAGAGCCGACCCAACTTTTTAACCACCTTTAATTGGCTACTCTTGATCGAATCTGAGGTTGGAAGTTTGGGGTTTAAGAATACATGTACGTAGTAACTAAATTTAATATTGTTACGTCACCTAATTAATAATGAATGCGTGCAAACTAATGATAAGATTTGCTTTTTTACATTGAAGGTAAAGGTTTAAAGAATGACTCTGAACTGTGTCAAAATCTTGGACATATACGATCTGAAGGAAAAGAATTAATTGATCAGCTTCACTTGATATACCGATATGGTCGGGCCAATTAGTAGAAAATTCGAGAATTCATTATAAAAATCGTTATATATACAAAGAAAATATTATTCATTATATCGAGATTTTAATTCGTCGTTATAACGGAGTATCGTCATATCGAACTTTGGCCGTACACAAATAACCAAATTAATCAAACAGTGATAAAACACACACAATATAAAATTTTCGCTCGTAGTGATTCGGCAACAAATAATGGTTTCATTATTCTTCCAATAGAACATTTTGTTCAGATCTCTTTTTATTAGTTGTCCATTCAAGGAAGCAAGAAAGCTATTAAATCAAAATCGATATTGTTTCATTGTATTGTTTATATAATGCATTGTTTAATTACTCTTACCACATATTAATACGAAAGAGAATATTTAATTATTACGTACGTAGTTGACATCGAAGTTTAATGCAATATTTATATTTAATCGGAAAGTTGCCAACACACTACGGTACTTTATATAATAATAATAATAATAATAATACTAATACTAATACTAATACTAATACTAATACTAATAAATGTCTTGAAAAGTGACGTTAGCGAAACGAAACTTATGTGCAAATGCAAACAAATACGTTTAGAATCTAAAATGGAAAAGAAATGCGCATTATTCTAATATTCCTATAAAGACCTTACTGCCACCCTCAGTTGTTATTTCTTGCCCTCGACCTTCAATCATCTTTAGTCTCCTTACTCTTCCTTTTATCTTTCACTTTTCCCCTTAATTATTATTATGGGGAACTCGAATCATAAATTATATCGCCATCATAACAATAGTCATCAGAATGAACGCAAGCAAAAAAGCTGCAGTTCAAATTCCTCTCATTCTTCATCCACTCATCTTTCATCATCAGCAAGAATCCATAAGATGAACGATGATAAGTATTTCTTACCGACGATTCGTGACGAAATCGATCGATTACACTCCTTACATTTTCTATTGCATCACATTTGGAAATCGAATTTTTCTTCAGCCATGGAGGAAAAACTGCAATGGGGAGGAGCTAAAGTGCTTGATGTTGGTTGTGGGCCAGGAACTTGGGTTTTAGAAATGGCTTCCAATTATCCGTTGGCCTCGTTCACCGGTGTGGACATTAGCGCGATATTTCCGGCCGAAATTAAGCCACAGAACACGAATTTCATTCATGCAGATATTCTCGATGGGTTTTCTTACCCGGATAATTATTTCGACTTTATCTATTTACGACATTTGGCCGTTGCTCTGACAGACGAGCAATGGAAGAACACCGTTATGGAAGAATTGGTGCGTATCTTAAAACCCGGTGGGATAATAGAGATTATGGAGAGTGATGTGTATTGGTCAAATGAAGGACCGATTTCACAGAAATTTAAGAGTACATGTAAGTCTAACGATCGTTTAGATAAATATAAACTTATCGACCAAATTTTTTTATCATAGTAAAATTACATGTACTATGAAATTTCAGACGTTATCCGTTAGAATCAATTTAGGTCGATTCTAAATCAATCAAAGTTGATTTTAAATCAACCTAAATAAATCAAATTTCGTTCCAACTTGCAACATAATGATGTAATTTTAAAAGTATATTTTCATATTTTCTAATAAAATAAAAAAATATACTAATTAATTGTGACTATAGAAACCTACAACAAAACATAATGGCTTGAAATTTCATAGTAATTTATTATTATAAAATTGTAAAGCATTTAATGAAATGTTGATGCATTTGAATTAATTTAGACATCGAAGACCTTCGTTCGCGTGGAATAAATTTATTCGTGATTGATAAGATCCCCGAATTTCTGCAACATAACAGACATCTCGTTGACTTTCATCAAGACACGCGTCAATGTAGTATTGGAAAATGGGCTGGGAGAGTTGGCGAATTGACTGCAGATAATACAGGTTTGCTTGTTGCATCATTATCGTTACGTATTATTTACGAAATTTTATTTGAACACATATACTGATATAATTGTTAGTGCAATTGTTTCGTATCTTGAAATATCGTTATGCACCCATGTTAGGTTGTTCTAATGACGAATACGAAAAATTGTTAACTGAACTCTTGAATGAAATTGACAAATTACAACCATACGCCAATTCTTACAGGTTGGTTCTCAATTCATTCATTTCATGTATAAATCTTTTCATTTTTAATTTAAATTATTATTTAACAAATATTAGGTTTTGGGCTACAAAGACCATCATATAATACCTTTTATCCTCTTTCTATTCGTCGTATTCCCCTGTAGTATAAACATTCTCGTGAACAAACAACAAATATGCTAATACCGCGAATTTTCTTCTTCGGTTTTTATTCTATTCAATATTCAGAGATAAAAGATGAGCCGTTGCTCATCTTGTTTCTTTCACCTTCGTAATCATTCTTTCATTCGATGTCCTTTTCACTCTACTCCTTTCGTTACATTAATCCAAGCTTTGCAGACAAGTTAAAACTTTTCTTGTCTATCAAAACACTCGCTATTATTTTTGTGTGTCTATTTTCGTATTATTTATTATCTATCATATCTTACAAGAAACAGACCGAACTTTATTGACCCACCCACTCATATTATTCCATACAGGCTACTTTGCTTACATTAAGTTAGAGTATTATTAAGATTCTTATCAAGCCAAACTATCAGCGAAAAGTTCTTTTCGTTAATTAATTCACACTCTTTTAAAAATAACATGAATTCTCAATTACAAAATGAAAATTAAAATAACTTCTGGTGTAATAATAAGCATGCAGTTACGTGTGCACACGCACGTCCGAATGTGTATTTTGCCCGAATGTATAAGTGACTTTTTTCAAAATACGTGTACTACGTATTTTCGATGTGTGTTGTGCCCCAAATCATCAACCCTTATTCTTACCGTTTTTATAGTGGCACTTTTAATAATGTCTCACATAGATGAAGCAGTTAAGAATATATTTCTGAGATGACTACTTTTTAAAATACGATGCATTATATATTACAGAGAAAATGCAATTTTTAATATTTTTATTGAATAGTACGTAATTGTTTGATTTTTATATTTTATCGCATATGCGTTATAGTGCTCTGGTCCCCATTTACTAATGTATAGGGTTAGGGTGTCCTAAAATTTTTAAGGTTATATTTTCAGTCCCACTACTATTAAGGGTCCTGCCATAGCACTATTTTATAAAACCCCAATTGTTTTAGTTTTATAAACTCATACTTTAGCATTCGCTATTATTTATACATCAATGAATTTTAAGTTATTGAAGGGAGATTCAATTGCAAAAAGTGTTTTGTTCAGAAAATCTTTTATAAAAGTAATGGTATATTGCAAAATTTGTATTATGGTGCATAGCATCTAAAGTCATCAAACGTTTGTATTTATAAAATGGATAAACTTCTTTGCTAAGAAGTAAATACAAAATTTAATTCGTGAATATGCTCAGAAATGCCTATTTTATCGTATTCACGGATTAAATTTTGTATTTATTTCTTAGTAAAGAAGTTGATCCATTTTATAAAATACAAATGTTTGACTTTAAATGTTATGCAACATAATACTGTTTGGTGCAAGAAAAATCATAAACTAGCTATTATTAAATGGAATTTAATCGGTTGAATAAACTCTTAATTTGTTCTGTATTTTTCAAATAATAACAATAATTACACCAATAAGTAGTCAGGGCATTTTTAACAATTTTAACTTTAAAATATAATTAGCATTCCTCTTATGTAAATAGTATTTATCGCTATCATTATCGTGCCCTGTTGTGCAATATACGTATAAAGTACACATGCAAGGATTCGTTGATAAAAATGGCGCATTCCAGTTTATCAAAATTATTCCAATTATTAATATCGCCGACACTTACGAGAAATTTTTAAAGCTTTTAGAAGATTTGACATAGCTGAAACTCCAAAAATAAGATTTCCAGTTAAAATTTTAAATGATGCTTTAAGTGACTCGACATCATTCACTAGGTATTATGAAAACAATATGTATGCTAGAGCTGCATGGATTACAATTTTAGAAGCGGTATCGGTATATCACGCTGAAATTCCGTTAGCAAGCAAAACTCGCGAAAGAGCGTACTCTCAATTACCTGTATTTGCAAAAAGCAACAGGTATATTAAAAGATAGTGTTAAAAAATTATTTAGGTCAATTTAATCCTGAGATGGAAAAAGAATCAGTACATTTTCGCAACATGAATATCGATATCGATTTTCTTCTTATATACATTCGCAATACTTTACATGCGGTGAATGACGATGAATCAACGACTTCTGAAATTTGGCGACGCGCTAAAGATTTGTTATATCCACTTTTTCTATTCTTCGGCCAATTAGCAATGGCTTCAGCAACGTCAGGTATAATAGCATCCGGAAAAATAAACGGGAAAGATTGCTTTAGTAGAATTCGAGGGACATTTGCTTTCAAATATCCTGTATCATCTTGGTACCGAGAATTGAGAGTTGCATTGACCTTAATGCATACTTAAAAAAAATGGTCTCTCGAATTAAATAATTCAAGGTTGCAGAAATATGGTGAATCTACTATTTTGGAGTATATTTGGCTTCAAGTTGAAAATGAATGGACGATTGCACCAAACGACGCACAACTAAGCATGAATCAGAAACTAGACAACACTGTTCGTTTTATTAATGATTTTGCTTGGTTTGAACCACTGGTGTTTCTTTTTTCTTTGGTGTTTGGCATTATGCTATTATCTAGCATTAGAAGCTCTAGATAAAGCTAAAACACACTTTATCATATTTAAAGCAATAGAATTATTATTATCTTTACGCGTTTTTAAACTGAATGGTTTTCTATAACTTTTATAAGAAACTTAATAAAGCCGAGCAGCTGGAATTAAATAGACTAAAAAATATATTGAAGCCAAAATTATAGATGAATCAAGTTTCAATCAAATCACAAGATCCGAAACCAAGCTGCACCAACCAATAGCAAAAGAAAAGAATCTTCAATAAATGAAATATAAGGTCAAGTAATCGATATGATTTAACATGTTACATATCAAATTACTGGAGATTGGAGTGTGGTCATACCATCAGCAACCTTGCTTTGGAAAAATAGAAACGAATCCATACGCTAAAAAACTTGTCAATCTATTGCTCATAATGTCGTAGTATTATTAATCCTGATAGCATGCAGTCTTGCAAAAATCAGCTACACTCAGAGGATTGGATTTGAGACTTGTTTCAGCCGGAATATATTAATAATGAAATAGAATGTTTTCCGTTCAAAAAATAAAACATCAATTTAAAAAATTTGCTTTGCTCCAAAAGACATTAGACAGTAATTTAGAATAAAATACTACATCAAACTCAACGCAAGACAAATAAGATTATTAAGAAAGAGAAATGGTATGATGCTACTTTTTGGCTATCACATGTGTTAAAAGTTTACCAAATAGTATACAAGCTCGATATTCTAAGAACTAATGTCCTTATGCATCTCAACGAAATAGATTCAGTTTTGGAAGATTTAAACTTTATATTTAGCAAAGATAATTCCAACCAGTATTGGCTTTTATTCTAAGAGAACAACTTAACATCAAGCAATCCAAGTATGATGAAGCACTTATAGATATAAATCAAGCACTTACATTTGGACCAGAAAACTTATCAGCAAGATATTCTCGAGATGAAATTTTTTATAAATATGAAAATTTCAAAGTAGTATTTGAAGATTTAGATTATGTTTTTAAAAAGACAATTATAACAAAGTATTAGTTTTTATTCTGAGAGGACAAATTAATATTAAAATTCAAGTATAATAAAGAATTTGTCGATATAAATTATGCACTTATATTTGAGCCAGAAAACTTATCAGCAAGATATTCTAGGGCCGAAATTTTTTATAAATATATATAACAAAATTTATTATTAGCATATATTATTTTTTTATATATTATATAGTAAATCATTAATTTTAATAACTTGATAAGCAATAATCATATAAAAATTCTTCTTATAGATTGATAATTTTTTAGTGAAATTATAATTCTGTAAGAGGATTTTTTAGTTTATTTTGTTTTCAAAAAAGTTATAATGATTTAAAATTTTTACTAATATAAAATCAAGAATTCTGATTGGTCAAATTAATTATTATGTATAAGATCTACAATAAATTTTGGCGTTTTGACGCAGTATCGAATGGTTTATGCTGTCCGGTACTGTAAGAAACATTTTTGTATTAATTAGTCAATTTCCTTAATAAATTTTAATTACAAATATCTTTGATAATTTTTATATATTCTGAATTTGTAATAACTTATAATTTTGAAAAAAAAGAAATTATTTTGTCTTAGCTCAATTAATTGCATTTATTAACTCAATTAATTTGTGAATGTACCATGCGATTAAAATCATGTAACTTTTTTCAAAAAGCATTGCAAGTGTTAAATCAACTATAATGCATAACATTTAAAGTCATCAAACATTTTGTATTTATAAAATGTATTAACTTCTTTACTAAGAAATAATGAAAATTTAATCCATGAATATGATAGAATAGGCACTTTCTGCGCATATTCACGGATTAAAATTTTTTATTTGCTTCTTAGTAAAGAAGTTTATCCATTTAATAAAATACAAACATTTGATGACTTTAGATACTATGCACCATATAACAAAGTAATAATGAAAAAAAGTCAAATCATGTGATTCCAATTCCGATGCCGACCTTCTGATATCCTTCCTTATAATCCTGTACCAATTCAAATCGCAAGGTCGGTGTGTAATACAAAAAATTGAAAACAAACGCTTACTTTTGAAAAATAGCTTGTATCTTGAAATTTTACTTATAAAACAATTATCTGTGTTCTAACAAAAAATATTTCTTTCAAATTTTACTATATACATGTTCTATGTTCACATTTGCTATACAATAACCTTACCCTAAACCTAACCCTAACCTAAATTTAATATTATGCATTCTAATTAAATCGGTAAAGCTCTGTTCGGGTCGGGTTTGATCCGAACATCGTGAAATAGTTTTTCGTAAATAACTTTTATTTTTACTAAGACACTTGTATTTTGTGTCTTACGTACGTAGAGTTGTTCGAATGTAATTGTGTATATATCCGTTCAATTTGAATGTGAAATAATGATTTTTAGTCAGGTCCGAAATACTTGGATCGGGTTTAACACAACCCGACCCGATTGGAGTAATATGTATCGGATGGTCGGCATTGGGATCGGAAT